TACTTGGCGAATTTGGGTTCGTTGATGAAGAACCTTCCACTAGATTCAGAAAGTTCACTAGCTTCCAAAACCTCATGTTTTTTCCTAATCAATTAGTATATTTAATGGAATCAAGTACTATATGCTAATGCTAGTCAGTTTGCATTTAAAAATAAAGTAGGTTTTCAAAAATTAAAATGATGGTCTTAGTTCAAAAATCATTGTTATTTTAGTGTACTTTTAATAATAAGCTAACCTATTTTTCTGTGTAAATTTTCCAATTAAAACTAACAAAAATACTTATTTTTGATACATTATATATAAAATAAGTTTTTCCTGCAAAAAATCTCTCAGAAGACGATAGAACAAGCTTTAAAGAAAGCTTCTTTGGAAGTTCCCAGAAGAAAACTTGGAAGCCAAACCTTCAGCCATACCCTCAGCATCGAGTTTCACCTTCTGTCTCCCGGCAGTGAGGTCGTTCTCACGATCCCACGGCTTCCACGGATGATTTCCAACCCACTCGTCCTTCTCGGCTTTCTCTTTGGATGACAAAGACAATTTCTTCTTCTTCTTCAGACGGCTTGAAGAAGACTCTTCCCTGTGCTTATCTACCAGAGACTTTGATCGTTTCTCTTTGTTGTACTTGTCCACAAGCTCGGCATCTAGGGTTCTATTCATGTTGTTAACTTCGTTTGAAGCAAGCGCATTCGCCTTGTTGTATGCCTCTAAGTAACTGCAACACCGGTAAGAACAGTGATAAGAACAAAAACTATGCATGAAACTCCAATCATAGAACCAGAGGGATTTGATTAATGAGAGAATGTCTACGCAGCCTTCTAAATCCAGCCCAAACTAACTGCTCTCTAACCAACTCAAAACAGCTACAGTCCGCTATATTCAGTATTAGGCGAGTTATAGTAGACCTATAGCTAAAGTTTGAGTAGCTAAACTTCTTCAAATAGACCCAATGTCTCTTTGGCTCATCCAAAAAAACAACCTCATGGATCACAAACGTGGTTTATAAATGCTAGCAAGAGGTTGAAACATTTGTGTGTTCTTACTTCATCTTTGCTCTTTCAGCTTTGTCCATAGGAGTATCAGTCCAGGCAGTAGTGTCTCCGCGTCCTTCTCTCGCATTTCTGCTAAATGTCGTGGTTGATTGCTGCACAGGCACTCCAACCTGAGAAGACGAACCCCAAATGAGATTAAACTTTTGACGCCTAGAAAACTAATTAACAAGCATTTTCAATTCAAATGTGATTCTCTTACCTTTCTTTCGGGAGGAAGGGTGGTCATCCACTCATCTCTTTTAGGTACAGGTTTAACCTCCGTTGCCGCTAACAACTCTGCATCACCTTCCATTGATATGCCTGCAAACCAAGAAAAAAATCCTTTACTATTTCATCTTAAAGGCAAAGATGTTAAGGAGCCTGCATGAGCGTCACTAATCAGCACCTTGTGATCTTCTCCATTGTGCTGCTTCTTGCATCGAGCGTAATTCAACCTGCGAAAAAGGACACCGTGTTATCTCTTAAGTTATACATACAGATTTATCCCGAAAGATAACATCAATCAATTCAGTAGAATAACAAACCTTAAAAGCCTCTTGTTCCTCCTTGAGTTTAATCTTGTCATCCATAGCTTTTCGCTGCAGAACTTAATCTATTAGAAATATATAAAAAGGCCTCGACTTTTAGTCAATTAAGTAAAAGAGACGGGTATTAGGGTAGGGACATATGATGGGTAGAAAATATGTCAGCCTCATGATTCAGTATGTCTGACAGTTGATCAGAACCTCACCTTTTCTGGATCTTGTAATTCCTTGAAAGCTTTATTCAATAAAACGAAAGCCTCCTGGGCTTGCGGATGAGAGCATTTGTCTGGGTGAACTAAAAGAGACAGCTTCCAGTACCTACAGACCAAACTTTTCTTAGTTCTTGCCTATTATTGATACAACATATATATATATATCCACAATCCCCTAGCTACTTCAGAAATAATTGATGTTTTTGTTATGTGTAGAGACTTTAAAGTTGAAAACAGAATCCCTTAAGGCCCACATAAGATTCCCTTTTAGAGATCCAAATGGTTTTAAAAATCATATAGAATATATGCAGAAACATCAATTTATTATATGGATTTGTATAGAAACAACAGCAAGGTGTCTATACCAATCATGGAACTGATTATTTAGGATTTTGTTTAAGCAGTTTAGTTAGTGACTAACAATCTCTTTTCTTGATTTCAAAAGCGTAACAGAAACCCTACCTCTTCTTCATGTTATCCGCAGACATATTGTGGTTTACTCCCAAAACGTCGTATGGACTATCAGCATCAGCTTCCATGATCCGTGTCACCTGATTATGAAAGGAATATGAGTTGGTACATTAACTAATACACTATCAATATCAATAAACTTTGAAAACAAAAAAAAATTGTATTTGCCAGAAGGAAAAACTAAGAACCTCTTCGAATCGCTCTGCCTCATTCGATGATGCTACTTCTGCAACAACAGCTGGTGGAGCAGGTCCTATAAAATATTCTGAATCTTCTTCTAGCTCAGCAGCCTCAGCTTCTCTGAAGCAATTTCAATGAATATATATTAATCGAGTTATTCCATATAAAATAAATAAGAATGATAATCTTTTAACTGGTAATCAATCAAAGCCACCTGAGTTCGGCTTGAGCTTCTGTTAGCTTTGCTGCCGCAGCAAGTAGCTCAGCCGATGGCATTGCAGGTCCAATCACCCTGCAATCAAATTATCATACCATCATGTTTATCCTCTAGACTACTTTTAAGATCTAAACATTTACCTTCCGAAGAACCAATTAGTATGAACGACAAAGAGAAAGCGTGGATCACCTTTTCTTTGGACCAGCAACATCATCAGCTGAATTTGATCCCAGATTGTTCTCATCTGCCAAATCCTTTTTTGCCCCATCATTCCCAGTAGCTGCTTCAGTTTTCTCAACTTCTTCTTCTTCGCCGCCTTTAATAAGATGTCCCACCATATCTAAAGAAGGAGACGCACCAGGTGGTAATAAAAAGACTCTATCCCCACGTTCCTTCAACTTCAAAGACAGAAACAGCTTCTTCAACCTCTTCTTCAAAACACTCTCCGAAATACCCTTAATATCAACCGCTTGGCCAGCATCTATCATTTTCAAAAGCTACAAAGAAAAGATCGAAATATCAAAACACAAGAGCCATTGGAGGCATACGACTAGCAATGATTTCGAGCTCATCACAAATTCGACTACTCATAAGTTAATAACCAAAACTAAATAAGTATAGAAACATGACATTACCTGTTTCAGATCATTGCCAACATTAGGGAACTCAATGAGCATCTCCTTAACCACAGTTTCAGGCTCATCCCGTGAACTCTCCTGATCAGACATGGACTCAGTATTGGACTCATATTCACGCTTCCTCGACGTCCTCTTCTTCCTATCTCTCCTCTTCCTCTCCCTCCTCTCCATCTTCTTCCTCTTCTTTTCCTTCTCTCTCTTCCTCCGCTTCTCTCTCTCATAACTTCCGTCACTTTTCCGCCGCTCCCTTCGCTTCTTCCTCCGCCTAGAAGACGAATCAGACTCATCTGAGCTATAGAAGGAAGACGACGACGATGCAGAAGATGGAGTTTCATCGTCAGAATCAGAATCTCTCTTCCTATGCTTACCCATTTCGTTCGATCCCTGAATCAGATTCCGAAACCAATCGGAAACCCTAGAATCCCTCTTCGATGATAAAAGCTGGATAACTTAGCTATAAAATCTCCAATCAAGACATGGAAGCTTGAATTGGGCTGAGCAATCAATACCCAGAAATCAAAATCGAATCTTGAGTGAAAAAACGACAGAGACGAATTTGACGGAGTCAAGCTCAAACAAATACCTTCCACGCGAGCTATGATGGTTTTGGAAAATCCTTCAAAAGTTGAAAGAAGAGAGAATCAGTTTCTCATTGTTCTAAATCGTATTTAATAGTTTACACCCAACCAAAGAGAACTATAATCAAACCAAACCGGTATCAATAACCAGCTAAAAGTGGAAACATAAACAAGTTGTTGATTTTTTAATCCAAATTCCGAACATTAAAAAGTTGTTTTTCTTTTTGTTTTGTCACAAACTTCATAGATCAAATGCATTATAAACTTCATGGAGCAAGCCACTATAAATCTAACTGATTTATACGGAAATAACTAATCACATGTGCTCTTTTTACAAAAACATCGAATATTTTCAGTCTGAAAGAAAAAGACAAATTAGAGACATTACCAAAATGGTAAGATTAGCATGTATAAATTATGAATATGAATCGTCTTTAGGAATTTCATTTTGGCCATGTTCGTGTTTCTGTTGTTGGATGCAATATCTGAATGCATTTTTTCTAGATGTCGTTTGTTTGGTCACTTGATAAAAATTGATGCATGCACAATATGGTGTTAATTTGATGTGTAAGAACTATAAAGACTCAATAGATTAAAATATCACGGCGTTGTTGATCACTCTTGTACTTTCGATGTTTCTTGGTTGAATGAGAAGATGAAAGGGAAAAAAGGACACGATCAAATACAATGTAATTATATAACGATAACAGACATGTCTTGGTCGAATTTAAGCCTCACGAGCTTTTTCTCCACAGAGAATTAACAACACTAGGTCACTAGCTAGCACATGAATGTAAGAACACTAAACGATTCTTAACTCAATCAAGGGCAGTTCAAACATTTTATTGGCTTGTGCAAATATAAAATTTTGGGTCTTCTATAACAAAACTATAATCTATCTATAGAACTGAGTTAGGCACAATAATAATATCATATACGAATATGACTAAAACTAAGTCACGTGCTTATTTCAAATATCACATGATCTTCTCTATTCCCTTCTATGGTTCTTTAAAACTAATTTTTTTTTTTATATATATTTTTTTTGTCAAAAAAAATTGCAAAATTTGGGGGGGATGAGTTACCGAAATAGATACTTTTTAAAACTTATTTATTAAAATAGACACTTCTTCACACCAAAACACTTTTTTGAGTATTTCCCTTGATTTATGACTAAATTACCCTTGTTTTCTTCCTC